CCAATGCGCGACCCCTAACCGTTGTCGCAGAGCGCCTAAATTTTGCACAGCGCCATTATTACACAAAGGAATTACTTTAAATCTGTTACCTCGAAATCGTTTTTTATTTGGAATGGCCTACCCTACGATACCCTGAAATTTGTAGACCTCTAGCTCATCTCCTTCCTCTTATTCCGGGCACGGACGAAGGACGGACGGACACGAGAGCGGTTGCATAAGCCCGCTTTAATGCTTTTTAAAAGCAGAAGGGCGGCCTGAAAACTAGTTTGTTTGAAAGGATTGAACAGTGTGTTCATGGGATTTTTCACACCTCTAGCAGCATAGGGGTGGCGTGTAACGAACGTCCTGTTCAAGGATGATTGAAAACACACATCGGATACATTCAATACCAACATTCCACGGCTCCATCCGTGCTGGAATTTCTTTACATCTCAGAGCGCGAAATTTGACTCCTAATTTGCTTGCCGTATGGTATATGTCGGTGACTCGAATGACTTGTGTTCCAGGACTATCCCAGTGGATTCCAGGGTTTTACTGCATCATTATACAATTTCCGTGTCACAGCCCGAGTAGACTCTTTGTCAGTAGGGTTAGTAAACGCCGACGACTCCAAGGACGCCATTCTACCTATTGCGTCCTACAGCGGAAAGAGGCTTCTAATATCCCCAAAGGCTATTACGACATGTGAGTTTTGAGATATGTGTATTATGGACAGTCAACCCCAGGTACATGAAGGGAAGTAACGCAACCAATTTTTGTAACTCACATCGTCACAAGACAAAAGAGGCTAGGCTCGCTCTGCCGCCAAACCTCGTTGCCCGCTGCGTTTTGCTCCCTGGGCAACTTGATTTGGCTGGGAGCTTGGCAAGAAGTGGGATATTGTGACGCTTCGAGTATTTTTGAAAGCTCTACGGCATTTTCGTATCGATGTACACTGTAAAAAATATTAAAGATTTTCCGAGCCCATAAGGTTTATAATTTCCCAGTGGCAACTGTTATATTCAATTCCCAACCCAGTGGGTTTTCAAAGGCCAACCCGTTTAGGTGGGCAGACCTGTGAATGGAAGGGTTTGGGAAAATAGTCTTTACACTAGGCACTGTCAGGACAGGTCAGTTGAGGACATGTCATTTGTATCAGTGTTTCTCATTTAAAAAAAGTTCTTGATAATTTAGGTTTGAAAAATTGTTGTTAAATATGATAGTTTAAAATTTTTGAATTACAATCATGAATCAAGAGATGGATGTGTTGGAAATATCCGAAAAGTTTTTTTAGTGCAGGATGATTTCGGAGATGTGCTACTTGTCATATGAGCACCTGTTTTTCAGGACCACGGGGCTGTCAAAGAAGCGGATTCTGCGCGTCAAAATTGCAATTTTTGGTCATACAAGCTGGGTACATATGAATTGAAAGGCCACAAGTAGCACATCTCCGGAGGCGTTTTTACAAGTACATTGCATTTCTAAAAATTAAAACAGCGAATTATACGACAGGAGCCCTCCTATGGAAAATTTCAGTTTTTATTCTTTTTTCCCATAAGAGCTCCATGCTAAGCTTTGAGGCCGCTGGGGAGGCTGAAGATTTTATCTAATCGAAACCATATTTTACACCGCTAATAGTGTTACTGGATAGAACATTTATCCAAAAGAGTCAATATCAGATTCGAAAATGTACACTTACGGGTGTAGAACAAGTTATTGGAGCACATAAACATGTGAAATTTGGAAATTGGGAGATGAACATTGGCACGTATGTAACTTGGAGTTGCACACTTGCTGTGTTGGTTTGTTTCAAAATTTATATGTCAAATTTTAAGGTTTGAATACTTTTATAAATAACAATAACTGACGATGCCGCGCCTACGGGCATGCCATTATTAATCACGTTCAAATATTCTCACGCACTAATTAAATTTGACAAGAAATGGTTGTCAAATCTGCCTGAGTGCATTGGAGAAGAACCATCGGAAGTTTTTAAAGGTCAACCACAATAAACCATTCTCATGGCTGACCTTTTCACTATTCAATCTAATGTTGGTAGTTGTACTACTACAAGGTAGATGTTCGCCAGACCACGTCTCGCGTAACAGGCTTCGCGATACCTCACGAAACACTGTTACGCAGCGACGCGCCTGGCATACATCTACCTTGGCCTGCGGCGCTGACACC